TAAACCCAAAACAAGCTAAACCGTAAACCTACAATTCACTGCAGAGGCCTTCGAAGCCCTGTTCCAGTCCAACCTTCTGAATGAAGTTTCGCCAGGTGATGAGCTTGCTGCAAGTCGGCGAGGGTCCAGTCCTCAGAGCTATCATTCTCCTGATGCTATATATTTTCTGGTGATGTTATATCAGAACATATCGATAATATGTTAAAAAAATACGTTATAGCTTATAACGTAAGCTTACTCTCGACCCTCCAATACAGCCTCCGGGTTTCCCAAAAACCTTGAACCCTCACCCTTGGAAGGATCCCATGAGGAGGAACCCCTGAACATGTAGGTTTTTCGGGGTGAAGGGAAGCCCTGATCCCTAAACTTTAAACCTTAAGCCCTAACTCCTAAACCCTACACCCTAAAGCCGCTGAGCCCTAAACCGTACACCGTAATTCCTAAGTGGTGGTTCGGGTTCACTGTCTGGGGCTTCGCGCTTTCCGGGTTTAGGGTGTCTCAGGCCTCTAAAGTCACTCCCGCCGAGGCCGTTTCCTTCAAAACGGGAGCCAACGCGAGGACGAATTGGGCGGTTGTGCGAGTTAGAGCTTCGGGTTTAGGCTTTGGGGTTCAAGTCCAGGGTAGGGCTGAGTGAATGGTTTAGGGTTTTTCGGGGGATTTTGAGATTAGGGATCTTTTCAGGTTCGGGGTTTGGGTGGTGGTGGGGGGGTCACCCGAACAGGAGTCCTTACTCTGATCGCAGTATGATGTTAGGTGAACAGAATGCCCTAGAGTTTTAGGGCTTAGGGTTTAGAGGTTTTGGGGTTTAGAGGTTTAGGGGTTTAGGGGTTTAGGGTTTAGGGTTCAGGGTTGTTTTGAGCAGATGTCTGCCTGGCCATGGTGATGGGACTGAGCTGATGCGTTCTGATGACACTCCACGGATCCACGGATGGTTCCATTTGGAACCAGGTGCCCAGAGAGGCAAGAAACATACCTCGCATCATGTGAAACATGCCCCGATTGTCGCACTAGTAAGGCTAGTGGTAATTTTAGATATGGGGTTTCCGAAAATTAGGGTACCTTATTTTGGGGTCCTTATAATAAGGATCCTATTATTTAGGGTACTATATTTGGTCCCCTATTTTCGGAAACCCCCATATTGCTTGTTTAGGGGGGAGTGTGCTCTCCGGTTTCACTGTGAGTTCCGTGTGGGCTTTAGGATTGAGCTGTGAGGGCTGGCTGTGGGCTCAGGTGAGGCAGACGTGCGGCCTTTTCTATTCCCCTAAACCCTAAACCCTAAACCCTAAACCCTAAACCCTAAACCATTTAAAGCAGTGACCGTTCTGGGGTTTGTGCTCACGCAATCGGATTCGCCAGCTGATCGAGGTTCTTGGTACGTAGTCGGCTAAGTGAACAGTACGAATTCGTTCTGGGGAGGTTCTCTTCAAAATATAAATAACCCTAAACCCTAAACCCTAAACCCTAAACCCTAAACCCTAAACCCTAAACCCTTTAATTTTTTCAAAATATAAATTGACTAGAGGGGTCGGAAGATTGTGCAACATCATTCCTCAGGGCCTTACTAAGTTATAGCCCCAGAACCCTCTTCTGATTTTTGCGAAGAGGGTGTTTATAAAAACCCTCTTACTAAGTTATATCCCAGAACCCTATTCTGATTTTTGCGGCTTTATTTTGCCTGCTACAGTGGCTGCTCAGGAGACAGGACCCTAAAGCCTAAACCCTAAACCCTAAACCCTAAACCCTAAAGGATCATCGTCTCATTCCCTGGCCCGCGCACCGATTCCTCTTAATTTAGGCTTTAGGGTGTAGGGTTTAGGTTCCAGGACTTAGGGTCCAGGGTTTAGGGTTTAGAATTAGGGTTTAGGGAGTTATTATTGAGCGAATCTGGGAATACGGGGTTTAGGGTCCGAATAAGTGGATCAGTACGGTTGAATATTGCCCAAACCATGTCTAAGCATACTAGATGCTTCTCCATAACCATATATATATATATATATCATACATAAGTAAAACATAATATTCCCTAACACCTAGATTGCTATAGCATTTTACTCCCCAAACGCTCAATAATTATGGTATTTAGGTTTACTCGTATTTACATGTACATCTTGTTACACACACATACACATAAGAGTTCCTTAACAACCTAGGGTTTTTCTCGCGTACACCCTAAATTCTATGACCCTAAACTCTAAACTCTAAATCCTAAACTCGAAACTCTAAACCCTAAGCTCCAAACCCAAAGCCCTGAACCGTAAACCCTAAAGCTGAAGCCGCAAAGTATATACGACCCCAGGAGTTCCCTGCTATTGAGCCCCAAGCCCTCAGCCGCGATTGGCGCCAGGACGACGACGCTGGTTTGTTCCAGGAGGCTCGGGTTAAGGGTTTTTCGGAATGTACAGGGTTTAGGGAGTAGGTTTAAGGGTCTAGGGGTTTAGGGTTTAGGGTTTGCAGAGTAGTTCAGGGGTTTAAGGGTCTAGGGGTTTAGGGCATAGGGCTTACGGAGTAGTTTAGGGGTTTAAGGGTCTAGGGGTTGTTTAGGGTGATGGTGTTTCTCAGCAGCGCCTTGACACCAAAAGCGCTTGTGTGTCACCAGCATTTCCTTGTTTGTATGTTTTTCGGATCGGGTTTTGGTGGTTGAGGATAGTTGAGGATAGTTATCTTCGAGCTTTTTTGTTTCCAGAGATGTTAGCAGGTGGGTTTTGCATTGTTGGTGTTCAGGTTTTGAGGCATTCTGGTTTCTCGCAATTACTCAATGCCTTCTGGCGAACTGCAGCTTGTATGGCCTCGAAGCCCCCAAGCCCTCATCTTATAATGAAGCAACAGTCGTAAGCCCAAGCTCAAGCTTATGGGACGCTTACAGAAGAACCCCTGTACATCCCCTGAAGGCATCCAGAACCCTAAACCCTAAACCCTAAACGCTAAACTCTAAAACCCGAAACCCTAAAGCCTAAACCCTAATGAGTGGCCGATACGCCTCTTCAGCTTTTGAAGTTTCGGACACCAGCAGGCGGACGGAAAAAAGCGTTCAAAAGAAAAACCCTAAACCTAAACCCATAAAGAAGCCCAAAGAGAGAGAACTGGCAGGTCGTCACTGAGATATTTCAGATGCTCCTCGAGGAGGCTCGGACGTTGCGGCGGTTTGGTGTGACGTTTGAGGATGAGAAGGGTTTAGGGTTTCGGGTTTTTAGGGTTTTAGGGCTGTTGGGCTTTTGGGCTTAGGGGTTGAGGGTTTAGGGCCAAGGGCTTAGAGTTTTAGGGCTTTATTAGGGTTTTTGGGGTTTAGGGCTAAGGGTTTAGGGTTTAGGGCTTAGGGTTCAGGGTGAACCCTGTGACACCCCATACAGGCACTGTACGTCGCGCCGACGATTTAGGGGTCGGTCCTTATTCACTTTGGAGATCCTCTCAAAAAGTCCCTTGAACCCTAGACCCTAAAGGGAAGATCAGCTGTCAGGATTCAGACTTGTCACTGTCAGGGTAAACCTTAAGCACCCTAAGCTCCCACGAGGTTGGCTTGGGCTCCACACTCCGAACATTAAAGCCTCTGACAAAGCCGTGCTACTGCAGCTTCGTCGCAAGATAGGTGGAGCTTAGTAATCTCGTGAAACAAGGTTTGAATCTATCTATTCCGAAAGTGTTGTTGCAACGTAGTATTCTGAAAGACAATGCCGCAGCCCTAACCCCAAACTCTGAAGCACTAGTAGAAACACAGAAGCCGGAATGATTTCTAATAATATTGCTTAGGGTTCCTTGAGACGGTACATTAGCTAGGGTCAAAAATGTATGATATATATTTATGAAAATAATGATGATACACTAGCAGTGGTCAAAAATACATGATATGTATAAGTACACGAAAGTATAACCCAACGCCCTATTGAAATTCTTCAGGGCCCCTGCACCTTAAACCCTAAACCCTAAACCCTATGGAGCTCAGGAGCAGCAGGAGCCGAACAAAGAGGCAGCTCCCTCCTGGCCGAGCATGAGGCTTCACCGTGGTGTTAAGTAGGGTTTAGGGTTTAGGGTTTAGAGTTTAGGGTTTAGGGTTTAGGGTTTACGGTTAGTTTAGAGTTTAGGGCCAGTTTAGGGTCTGAAAAATATATGCTTTAGGGTTCACGTTTAGGGTTTCATATTTGAGATTACGGTGATTGTGGTATTAGTTTGTCCCGGAAATTGCGACGCAGTGTTTCAGGTCACTTCTTTTCGGGGGCAGCCTTGACCTTCTAACGTACCATGGAAGCCTTAATAATTACCAATATTATTCCTTAGGGTTCCTTATAATTTCCTTATTATATCTATACTATAAGAGGACACGAAGCACGCAGAGGGGGCATTGCCATTTTCAGCACTGGGTTCAAGGTTTGGACTCGGAAAGTGTCGACTTTCAGCAGTGGCCATGCCACGTGGCTTCGGATTTGTGGAGGATTCGGGGTTTAGCATTTATGGGAATTGGGTTTTGGGCTGTAGATGGCTGTAGGTTTTTGAAGCCGAGTGTCAGCTGTGTTGCAATACATAGGGTCGGAATACATCACTAAGAGTATCCCTTTAGGGTCCTGGTTCTGGTCATACTAAAACAGACGACCAAGCTCTGTTTTGAGTGTTAAGGCCCCTAAACCCTAAACCCTAAACCCTAAACCTCAAACCCTAAACCCTAAACCTCAAACCCTAAACCTGAAACCTCAAACCCTAAACCCTAAACCCTAAACCCTTAACCCTAAACCCTTAACCCTTAACCCTAAACCCTAAACCCATGGCTTGCCCTGCAGTTGTGTTCCGGCCCGAGCAAGCAGGGAGGCGTAGGTTTGACATCATGCGGTCCGGTGGCGTCTTGGTTAGGGTTTAGGGTTTAGGGTTGAGGGTTGAGGGTTTAGGGTTTAGGGTTTAGGGTTTAGGGTGGGACGCTTTTCGCTTTGGTGTGGCTTTAGAGTCGAGTTTCCGGGTGCTGCAAAAGGGAGGCCATGAAAAGGATTCTGTTTACTTTCCTACGTACAGCAGCCCAGGCGTGATCATCCTGGCGTTTCTTGGCGGCCTGCCGTTCGCACAGGGCGGCTGCCTCTCCCAGAACGAAGATGCTTGGCCGTCCGATAATAGCCCAGCTTGAGATTGCTAGAGGGTTTGCGGTATAATAAAGGAGCCTAAATAATTACCTATACTACTTTGTGGGTTCGTTTTTATAATTGTAGTATAATGGGCCCCAAAACCCTGTTCTAATTATTAGGCAGTATAGGGTTGCGGTTGAAGCCGCGTCGAACCTCCAAGCGCCATTCCCGAGTTGGAAGTAAGGATAGCCTGGGCAGCTGCGCCAAGAAGTGTACCGGAGATGCTGCCAGAGCTGCATGTGTTTCAGACTGCCTGATCGATCTCGACGTTCCCGATACTTGTGCCACCTGCGCCTGGGAAGCAACCCTAAACCCTAAACCCTAAACCCTCAACCCTCAACCCTCAACCCTAAACCCTCAACCCTCAACCTAAACCCTCAACCCCAAACCCTAACCCTGTGTTGATGGGTTTGAGGTTTCGGCTTTCGACGGTTGCAGACATTGTGCAGCAATACGGTCTTCATGCCAAAGTTGCTAGCGTGGGGTTTAGGGTTTAGGGTTTAGGGTGTTATGTCCTGGACTTTGAACTTAAGCTAGGCCCCAAAATGTAAGACGCTGAAGTCCTAAGCACCCTGAGCTCCCACACCCAGCCACCTGCAACCCGAAGCGCAACGCCCCTACATCCCTGAACCCAACTGCCCCAAACCCCACTACCCTAAACCATGATGCTGGGAACCCTGCAATCCCAAACTTACAGCCTCAGGTCCAGAAGCCCAAAATGGCAGTTTCAGAGAAACAGGACCCTCATATAGGACCTTAAATCGTAGGATCCTTGGCAGGTTATAAAGATCTCAAAGGTAAGGCACCCCAAACTTTAAGAAGCCACCGGAATCCTATCATCGACTGACCCTAAACCCCACACCCCTAAACCCAAAAACCCCAAGCCCCAAACCCTAAGCCCTAAAGGGGCACAATGCACTTTTAAAAAAAACCCTAAAC